CTAGTGAGACTTGTCGATTGGAACCTCTGAGTGTATAATCGTAGCCTGTAGTTATAATTAGAGTTTCCTGGATGGAAAACGGGAGTTTGTGTATAGATCTATACGGGGTGACCCCCCACACCTTAGCTGCTCGATACAGCTAAACTAGGCCAGTCTAGGGCGACAACATCCTTATCAAGACCGGTATTTGGAAAAACACCAAGACGGACGACCTTGTCATTATCATATATGGTTATAACGACTCATTTAGGGATTCGATACCCAAAAGTTAAACCTTTTAAAGATAAACTCTTTGAGGGTGTCAATGCAAAACTCTTATTTAAGGACACAAAAATCTAAACATTGCTATAAAACGGAAAATATCGGATTTTCTGGGAAAATTATTCATGCATATTTATCAGTCATTCAAGATACAATGAATCTAAACTGCTTTTATACAAGTTATAGCTATGAAATTCACACATGCATTTATACTGGATTTTCACACCATTTTCAGACAATTTATAGAAAATATCAAATTTTCTAGGTTTTTATGAAAACTTTTACTCCAACATACTTATGAACTCACCAACATTATATATGTTGACGTTTTCAAAATAATTTGTATTCTCAGGTAATCGTTAAGCTGGAAGAATTGCAAAGTGTGTTTGACTTTGTTTATGTAACATCACTTGTCGTACTTTTAATAATTTGAACTTATGTAATTTAACAATGTACTTGATGTAAACAATGCTGGTTGTATTATGCAATGTTGGTGATGAATGTGTAATGTTTCATGTATATTTATTCTGATGATCATTTAATTGTTAGTCACACGAGCCCTCGGACGTTTCCGCCGTCTGGTTCGAGGGTGTGACAAATATAAGTTTGAAAATACTTATATACAAAAAAAAAAAAATTCTTTGGAGCAAAAAGTACGTTAATAAAAATATACAAACCTGTAAACTTACCAACTTTATGTTGACATTTTCAAATCTCATGTATTCTTAGGAAAATAAGAGTCGGCCGTATTAATCTATTGGGAAAATCTTCATGGGATCATCAGAGTACTTTTTATCTATATTGTACTTATCTTATTTAACACTACTTATAATTTTTGGTTTCTTGTATTCTAAAAACCTAGTACGATATATAATATATTTTGTAATAAAAAAAATAACATTTGTGTTATACTGTTCAATGTAATCAATAATTGTGAACCATGATGACATCGCACAAGCTCGGAATTTTCACCGTTGACCGGGGTGTGACACAGAAAGAGAAAAAGATGGACACGATGGAGGAGGTGGTTGAATTCCCACCATTTAGAGCTCCAAGTATTCAGATCCGGTGGTGATGGTGGAGGCTGCAAATTTCGTTCATGGCATGCAAGTTTCTTTTAAGTTTAAAGTAACAAGAAGATGTGGGAAATGGACACAAACATGAGAGAGAGAGAGAGAGAGAGAGAGAGAGAGAGAGAGAGAGAGAGAGAGAGAGAGAGAGAGAGAGAGAGAGAGAGAGAGAGAGAGTTTGTATTTTTTCTGTTATACAAATTATAAAAATAAAATAAAAAAGGAAAATTTTCTTTTTTATTTTTCTTTTAATCAGAAAAAATCTTTAAAAAATATAAAAATTGAAAAAGCAAGGGCAAATTTATCATTATGGAAAAATCCATACTAAATTGAACCAAACTCGCAACAAAATGAAATGTTTAAACCTATAGTGTTAGTTCAAACTTTTTGAACCAAAGTGATAATTTTAAGCAAACCACGAGGACCATTTGTGCAGTTTAATCGAAAACAAACAAGTCAAAATCTATATTATGTGTTTTTTTTAATTGATGGCTACAAATTTTACACAAGGATTCTAGATTTACTAAAAGAAATATTAGCATTTTTTGAGATAACCAAGTTGCATGTACATTTGGATTGTTTGTGGGTTTGATATGTCTTATTATACGTATTTTATGGACTATTTCAGATAATTTTATAGGTATTTTGTTTATTAAAATTGGACAAAAAGTATTTAATTGTTTTATGTTTATATTTTAAAGCTGAAATTGAAATGTTTGTGAAATAGTAGTAGAAAATGACCATTTCGGACATATTTTCATGAAATATTTAGCAAACAACTCAGTTGGAGTTAAATATGAAAAGATAGAGCCTAAAATTTTTTCAAAGCAAGAATATTATATCAGAAAATAAAAACTATACGTAGACGATTTTGAAAAACTATACATAGATTCTGCAGATAATTTCCGAATTTTATTTCGCGCCGCGAATTCAAATTTTTAAAAGATTTAAGTCGATTATGAAAAACTATAGATAGACCCTCAAATTGTCCAGAGCAAGAATATCATATCAAAAAATAAAAATAATACAAAAGATCAAGTACATAAGAGGCCGTTTGAGGGTCAAAAGCCTATATCACCCGACATGCTAAAATAGAAGCAATAATTTGAAGATCAAGAGAAGAATCATTAGTTTATCAAATTGTTTACTCTCTCTCTCTTTTTTTTTTTTTTTTTTTTTTTTTTTTTTTTTTTTTTTTTTTTTTCTAAATTGTCAATTTTTTGGTTTATTATATGTTCTTGTCAAGATTTGAGATCAAACCATTTATGAGTATTTGATATTTATGAAGTCCTAGTTTTATTGTTGATTGCTATTTCGTTATTGAAAGTTGTTCAAATTATTATGATTGCTTGATTAAAGATCTATACGTATTAATATTAGTTCTGTTATGTTATGTATGTAATGAGTGTATGGTCTAACATTAGGTTTGAGTTAAGTATCTTGTATCATATTCTTTTGTTAACATTAATGGCCTAAGACTCCATTAATGAGGTAGGTAACAGGACTAGTGGCTGGCCGTATCCCGAGGTTAATCATAATAATTAATTTAATATCGATGATTAAGTTAGTAGTTTATCCAATTTGAGAAGTTGCCACTAACTCTGAGACTGATCATATCAATTGAGTTTTTCATAGTATGAAATAATGGACTACGTCTAGGGGATCTATCATTGCTGGTAGACAACTTAGAATTATATAATTAATGACTTGACCATCTGATTTAATCAATTTAAGAATCGGTGAACAACAAATCAATATCCTTTTAAATGAAATCATCATTAGAATGATGAGTGATTAAATACAAGATTATATTATTTATTAAGTTAGTCATGATTGTCTTGGTTGTTTACTTGTTTATTTCCTATTTATTTGAGTGACACTTATTTCTTTTTATATGTTTTCTTCTAAGATTGATTAATAAAATGATATTAATGTATTAGTACACTTCTGTTCTCTATATATTTAACACCCTTACTCATCTAAACTATCTAATTTCTTATCAGGTCCATTGCCTAGTGTTTGGTTTGTTAGCTTTTATAAATATAAAACTAAATTTGTATTTTAAATGAGTTTAACTATCTTTAGCACATCAGGGTTTTCATAATTACATAATTAAAATTAGATTTGTATTTTAAATGATTTTGAAATATAAACTTGTGTTATTAAGTTCATATATGTGTTATTATCATAATTACATAAAAAATGATTATTAGTTCGACTCTAATTTATTTCCTTATTTTGGAAGAATTTCATTTATATCCTTATAAATTTTGAATATTACTTTTATATCTTTATGAAGTTTAAAATTACACACACACACACACATATATATATATATATAATATATATATATATATATATATATATATATATATATATATATATATATATATATATATATATATATATGTTTGAAAGGGAATTGAACGTTTTGGAAATTTGGAATATGTTTGAAGAATTGGAATTGAACTATGATCATTGCTTGATTAATTTGGTGTATGGTGATGATGATCTGAGCGAAAGGGGGATGGATTTTTTCGAAAGAAGGGGCACGAGGTGTGGGTTATATGCATGCGGTAAATTTGGAATATGTTGGAAGAACTGGAATTGAACCAGTGACCATCTTATATGGTCGTCACCTTTTAGTTGTTGTTTTTACTAAACAACAAAATATATTAAAAGGCTAGCACGACGTTAGAACATTATAAATTCTTCACCTTTTAGTGTGTATGTTTATAGATCTTGCCTTTGTTATGTTGTGGGTCCAAATATTTACAGAGGAAGTATTTTTCACTTTTTGTACATTGGCTCCTTCAATCTATGACATAAATTTATGTAGAAGATAATCATAAAAAGTGATTGCATATATGAAGATCTTGGCGACCCATTACTTGGAATAAAAAATATATGTGAAAATATGATCTAATTAATGGAGAAAAACTACTTCCGAAGAGTAGAAAAAATGTTTTGAAGCTTTTCAGTGGTTTAATCCTAATTAAATTGGTTTAATACTAATCTTTAATTCGGGAAATGTAATATAAAGACATATATGTAGTTTATAATTTTATAAGGATATAAAAGTAATACTTAAAATTTATAAAAATATGAATGAAATTTCCAATTTTTATATATCCAGCTATAATTTTGCATTTTCTCCCTAGCAAATTGCTTCCGTGGTGGGTGGAATCTTCACTTTGTCATAAATTTTTTTGTGGAAGGTGTTAGTTGAAGTCAAAGAATGAGGTTTTGAATGAATCTAAATCACCATGCACCTTTTCATTTTCTTTTATATAAATTTTCAAAATTTGTATGAATCATAATGTTTATGGATTAGCAACAAGAATCGATTTGAGTCCAACCCTGACGTGGACTTGTTAATCATTGGCCCTATTAGGCTCGATTGGTTATACACTTTTGAAACCCAACAGGTTAAAGATCTCATTTTTATAGCGGTTCCTTTGTTATCAAATTTTTGTATTTTAAATTATTAATCTTAATTATAAAAAAATAATAATTTTTTTTTTCATAAAAAATGGCTTTTCCTTGTAACTGGTTATGAAGGCTTGATTATAACAGTAAAGGATTTCGAAGGCTAGGTTCGGTTAATGCAACCTATTCAAAACTAAGCAAACATTAAAAGTACAAATTCTTTTTAGGCAAATTTTATTTCTATAACGTTATTAGAGTTTTATGAATATAAGTCTATTATTTTCATCTCCCAATCATCTTAATAATACACAGTTCTATGAAGACAAAATTTAAAAAAAAATAAAAAAGCACATGTACAATATACTTTGAAGACAAAACAATGCATAAATGATCCTCAATATGTTAAAAAAGGACCCCTTAACAAAGGATCAAAATAATTGAATTTGTTATACCAACTTTTACTTTCTCCTCATCTTCAACCTCTTCAACCCTTCACCACCCTCCTCAATGGAACGACTCTCATTCTCCTTTTGTAATCATGAAACATAAATATTTTCATTAACCCTACCATTATATATATATTTAATATTTCTATATGTATAATTGATTATTTATAGAAAAAATTCATTTATCCAGACAACACATAACCTAAACAGTACCTTCGGATTGGTGCTTGATCTCTTTCCAAGGTCAAGCTCTACAGAGATGTTGGCTTTTGACAAATCCACACCCGAACTCTTTAACGCTTGTGTTAGAGCACTAGATATTCTGTTTTTTTTTTTTTTTTTTAAATTAAATTCAAAACTTATTTTCACTCCATAAAAAAATATCATAATAAATGAGAAAAAATGATAAAGATTCTCACCCTTGAGAGTACATGGTTGAAACGCCAATTATGCCGTTTGGAACTTGTGGTTCATCACTTGGTATGTTGTTCTTTTAGAAAAAAACCAAAAAAAAAAATAAATAAATAAATTGAAAAATGTTAAATACAAGAAATACCAATGTATTTTTATTGATTTGTTTAATCCTATTTTTATATCTTAGAAAATGTAGAAGTATGAATTTACCAATGGAGGCTTGTTGTTCCTTCCTTGGTATGAATCCTCATACTTGTTCACCTTCTCTTGTAGAAACTGAATATATTCAATAACCTACAAATATATCATGTATTCAATAAAATTGACCATTTTACCCTTACATTTCAAAAAAACCCTGCCTCCAGTATACCTCCAACAAAAATGACGCCTTATCTCTCTTTTGATCAGCATGAGGGATAATTCCTCTCAACATCGAAAATCTGCACAAGTTTTACAAAACTCTATAAATCGATCTCACCAAAAAAAAAAAAAAAAAGAATCCAGAAAATGGAAGTGAAAATTAGGGTTAGAGAAACATGCCTGTCGTTGATTTTACTCCTTCTACGCTGTTCTGTAGCAGAGTGCTTTGAGCGTGGGCTGTTGGGCTTTTCACCAGTGTTAACAGCTTTAGAATGTGACGTCATCCAAGGCATTCCAATCTTTCCCGATTTACCCTTGTTTACATTAGATTCTTCCCAAAACGTGAAACCACTCCCTGTGTAAGAACTGCAGTTTGAGTTTTCATCATTGTTATTATTGATACTACTTGATTGACATTGTGCACCCGATATCTCAATCCCTTCAGCCTTTGGAACTACCTTTTGGCTTTGAATTTGATTCATATTCATGTATGAATAAGATGATGATGATATTTGACTTATGCTGTATGTCGCTATTCCCCCAGGAAGAATATGGTCAAACTTATTTCCTTCTTTCTCAACTTGTTCATCCGGTGGTTGAAAGAAGTCGTGAGTCTTAAGGAAACCACCTGAATCAAAATTAAGATCAAATAATTTAATAGTTTTGAAAAGAAATCCCAATCGATATCAGCGACATTATACATTTGTGTCAGCGAGGCTAAAATCCAAATGATCAATGGCCTACCAGAACCTTGTGACTGTGTCTATGTCCCTGGACCCAGTATCGGGTTCACGGGTACGACCTAATTCGTGGGTTTGTTTGGATAATCAGATTTCATGTCATTCGATTAAATGTTATCTTGATAATTGATTCGCACGCAAATCAAAAAGTGTATGCACATCAATCAAGTCACACAAATATGAAATTTTGGTTGTTTGATTGTGTCGATGAGGTAAAACATATCAATCGCATTTCAATTGATATGATATTTCACTCGCATCTATATATATGATGATGATGATTGATTAAAGTAATTAGAATGGAAGAGGGTGCAAATATACCGGGAATGCTGGGAGTAGGATCTTGCTGGGGAGGTGAATAAAGTGAAAGAAAGTCATGCGTCGGCTTAGCACCTGCAAAATCAAGGTTACACAAAGCTGGTGTTAATTTTTCTCAATACAAACACACGCGCCGCTCCACGCGCAACCACGGAAAACCACTTGAGCTGTACGTTTGTGTATGAGAGATGTTATATGATGGTACCTTGGGCTCCACAGGGTCGGGGTTGAGAAAACTCCATCTCCGCGCCTCAAGGAAGATTAATTTGGAGATTTTGCTTCTCAGATTCCGATCGATTTAGTCGTGGCAATTTTATATAACTGACATCCCGTTCTTCGATAAGATCGCGGGAAAGCAGAGTGAGACTTTACGGATTCAAATTAGCTGGCCAGATCCAGTAGAAGCAGCGCAGTTAGATGAAGCCACTGTGTTTGCGACTTCTCCTCTTGAAACTCAGAAGTGTATTCACGCTATTGTGTACGCAATTCTGTTAGATGCAATGAATTCCACCACTTTCAGATCAAAACTCATAAACGAAAAAGTAAAATCTCAGAGAAAGTCTCTTAGATTTCCCGTAGTACATTCAAATTCTTTCAGCTCTTTAGTCTAGCGAAATTCATAAACAACAGGATTGCTGGAATCAGTTGATGAATTAAGCTGACGTACTGTTAAGTGTTAACACTAAACGATTCAAATGAAAGCAGAATCCTAGACAACTAGTCTAAAATAATCGAGTAACTAATCAAACCAGGATCATATACAGAGTGATGAAAAAGCAAAACTTACCGTGAAAATGGACAAAACGAAGAATCAAATACAGAAGTACAGTTCGAAAGAGATGAAAACTACCGAAAGGATCAACAGATGCATACCTTTGATCTGAATGTCAAATATTTCCGCGGAATTCAGCTTCTACAAGAAATTCAACAACTGGACTTCAATTCTCATCTCTCAGGTGAAGTAACTCCAACCATGGATTGTAATATTTGAATCTGTTTCTGTTTTGAGTTGTCTTCGTGTTAATATAGTTGAGAATTGTGACGAAGATCAAGCAAAGAACCTGTGATGAAAGATAGGGCCCTCCCTCCCTCCCTCCCTCCCTCTCTCTCTCTCTCTCTCTCTCTCTCTCTCTCTATTTATCTCTCTCTGCGGTTTTGATGAAGAGAATGAGGAGATGTTCTCATACGGTGTCCGTTTCGTCTTTTATAACATGAAGACGGAGTCATAACCCCGTTTTCTGTACCTACGTCAACTCGTTCTTTTATATGTCAACTGGGTATTCGCAATGACATTTTATTCATACTGTGAAATTTGCTACTTTTTAATATAATTATTGACGGCTTAGAGGTGTGTGATTTTAATTATGAATGTTGGGCAACATGAAAGCAAGGAAGATGAGTTATAATTTTCATTATAGTAAAGAAAATAAAAATATGTTGCCTAAACCGGAATATGGCCAAGCAAGGAAGATGAGTTATAATTTGCTGCTTTTAGCTATGTACCCATGATAATATAGTTCATAAAAGCATGGACATATGTATCGGAAATATTAAAAGTTTACCCTAGAGGACAAGTCACTTAAATATAACATAATACAAGTGAGAAATGGATTAAAGATAAGTGAGAAATGGATTAAAGATGAGATGTAGCATGATGTGTGTTTTTATATATTTTTTAATTACTTAAGTTCTAAATTTATAAAATAGATTTTATCTCAACCAGACTAATAAACACACTAGACAGTGTACCTAATCGTGCAATAGTATAGTTGTGGTAAGATCAGGTGTTGAGCGAGAGGGAACGATGGTGAATTAATTTGGAATTCTTGATTATAGGTTACACAAATCACATATCCTCTTAAACTGCAAATCTCGATAAACTGACCGAAGACAAATCTCTTTAAGTATCTTGATTTAGATTAATGATACAATGGATATTTATTCATTATTCATCGATTCCTAATATGACTAGCATCATTGTCATGACTACTACTCATTTGATTTCAACACAACTATTAGTTCATTGATCAAGTGAACAAACAATCATGCAAATCAATATTTAGTTTGTATTAAGCAAGATTTGATCTTATTTAACCCTAATGGTCATAGGAGTTAAATCATGCATAGAATGGTCATCTACTCATGCACACATATTAAAGTTCACCAATTATTCCTAACCCTAGGTTTTGGTCCAACTCTAGTCATAATCACCAATGGTCAGAGACAACTATGATTCAAATTAACCCAGTCAAAATGGTCATCTCAACTCTATTAATTCAACAATAGGGAACGAAGTAACAATCTTTAATACAAATGGATCTTTCAATCAGACTTGACAAATAAATTAAATAATAATAAACAATCCAAATAGCAATTAAACCATAAACTCAAAGATTCATTCAATCATAAACACAAAATAAAAGATTTTAACACCCAAATCAGAAAGTAGCACATAATGGAATCATAGTGGAATGCTAGTCTTGGTCAGATAAACAAACCACATGATCTTTGGCATGAATCTACTCCCCAATCGTTCATCTTCGCTCTTGGCAGCTTAACGGCCTTCTGGCCACCTTCTAGACTCTCAAAATGGCAAAAGGAAGGTTACTTAACAACCAAGAATCAATAAAAATCGAGTTCTCCCCTTAATTTGGCCGAAAATTGCAACTTATAGGTCTTAGAACCGACTTACATATGTTGGGCGTAAGTCAGTTTATGCGGAGAGTACTAAGAAAATAATCGTGATCTGGATCCGGGCACCTAGCCTAGTACGCTAGGTGTACGACTCACTACGTTGGGTGTAATCGACAATTTTAGAGTACGTTGGGCGTACAACCATTGCGTTGGGCTTAATAGGCCTCTTTAGCATCTTTTCTGCTTTTTGCAATCCAGCTCTAATTCCAGTCTTTTTGCTTCCTTTCCACTCTAATAACAATTATACCTGTAAAATATAAATTTAAGCATTATAAATACATTTTAGTTCTAAATAGCAATAATTGAGGTTAAAATATTAAGATATGATATATAAAAATATATAGAGATATATACATATCAAAATTACTTCACACTTAACCTTCGCTTGTAACCAAGAAAACTGACTTTTAATTTACCAATATCGGATAAACAATCATTTTAAACCTAGCAATTATTCCAAGACCGCAATGTATGTATTTGTATCTATAATTCCAAAAAAACTTTCAACCCTAAATAGTCACAATCCTTAGGAACATTCACCATTTAGTTTATATGACACTCACTTTTTGCAACCCTCTGAATGCATCCTCGGAAATCTTTCTTAATCTGAATGTATTTTTGGTTAAGCTTCCCAAGCATACATGTAATCTAGAAAGAAATTACAACTTTGATACCACAATGGAGCTCTTCGAATTCATCTATTCTTTGATATTTGCTTTTCAACTTCTTTGAATTTAACGCTTTCTTGTTTGATATTTGGTATCTTCAATTTTTGATTCTTCAAAATTTTTGATCTTTTGATTTTTATACTTTGATTGCTCCAAAATTCTTTCAACTTTTACAATTTCTCTCTCTTTTTTTATATATCTCATTTTTTCCGCTCAAAATCCTACATTCTTAAGCAATGAAGCTTAACTTCAACCTGTAACATCCATAAAAATCATGCCAAATTTAAACTTTTTAAAACATTTCAAAACAGGAGATTATTACAAAACTTGTTTTCAAAATAGTATAATATTAGAGTATGCCAGAATCAAATCATAAAATCATAAAATATGAGGAGCTGTACGATCACGCCTTCGCCTTCCCGTAATCATCATAAGTACCTGAAACAATAATCGATAAATGTAAGCTCGAAGGCTTAGTGGGTTACCCCAAAATACCAACGCCATAAAACATATCAATAACATATAAGCAAACAACGTGCATAATAAGCCTTCAGCCTAACTGGATCGCCTCGTAGGCGTTTAGCCTATCTGGACCGCTCTCCGAGCCTTTAGCACATCTGGACCGCCTCGCATGTCCTACAACCTATCCGGACCGCTCGCTAGGCCTTTGACCTGACTGAACCCCTTTGCAGGGCCTTCAGGTTATCCGGACCGCCCTGGGTATGTTGGCCTTCAGCACAAAGCAGTAGGGATGAGATTTAGAACCGGAAACCCGGACCGGAACCGGAACCGGAACCGTTAGAACCGGAATATATAAAACCGGTTCCGGTTCCGGGTTTAAAATTTGGCTTTATCCGGGTTCCGGGTAATCCG